GGAGTCAGCAACTGAAATTTTCGATAATAATGTCGGCTTTGGCGTTTTCCTACTAACAAACCTAAAAACCAAAAAAAAAAAAATATATAAGGGATTAAAATTATCATGATGATAAATAAGGAACTTACTTGTCCATTTTATGAATTTTTGCTACTAAACCAACAAACACAGACTCACAGACAAAACATGAGCACAAAACAAAATGAGTTGTTGGTGCCGTACCAGAGGCGAGCACGAGAAAGTAATGTGAAAATAATCACGTTATTTTCCAATTTCAACATCGTTCCGTCAGCTTTCACAACAATCGATGCCGATCAATGAACCAATCGTTGATGGCACTAATGGATGCCGAATAACTAACTAACTAACAACCACTCTCCTCTGTCTCTAACAACTAACAAAACAAGTGCGGTTGAGGTTAGGTTAAACTCAAACTAGAAAAAAAAACAGCGGGAAGGGAATAGCAGAAAAAGACAGACTGATTGCGATTGCGAATTCTATTGTTAAAAGCAGACAAAATGTAGTTCTATCTCTTTCTCATACATGCTAGTAGGAAAAGACAAGAATACACTCGGTGCGCATTTACCCCAATAGAAATCGCTATGACAGCAGACATCCAGACATACTAGACTACAGATTTCTTTTTTTGGGTTGGGCGGGCACGACGCCAAAATAACCTCCGCCATCTATACCGAAATAACGAAACTAAAAAAAAAATTAAAATGAAAAATAACATTATTTATTTAGTTAGGTTAGATAAGAATTCAGAAAAGAGCGAGATTTGATAAAGAGGAGCGAGCGAGTTAATCAAAAATGAAAAGAGCGAGATCTCGCTCGATCGAGCGAGCTGTGGCAACACTGATTGAACCGATCGCAGAAAAAATAGTATGTGTATTTCGGTGTAAAAGCACATTCTCGGCCTTCGGTGTTTGCCGGCTCGGCTACGCCTCGCCCGTCAACTTACGCGGTCGGCCGAGAATGTGTCACTTTTCCACCTAAATACACAATATACTATTTATGAATGGTATACTCTGTCTATCTGATCATTCTTGAGATCGGAAAAATTTTTCGGAAATAATGTTCAGTAAGGTGAAGGTAAATGTGATAATGGGCCAAATGTGAGACTGATTCATAAATTCAACGTAAATATAAAACCAGTGTCGCCATCTACCATAGAAGCTTTTAAACTTGCATTCAAATAAGCGCAACACTAGAACCGACCTAATTACAGCCAGTGCTGGTACAGGCGACACATTAACGGCTGAACATACTCTATAACCTAACTTTAAAGTCGACACGTGTTTAGCAATTTTCATGTGAAATTAACATTTGCTGACGTAAGTCTGTGTTGGTAGTTTGAAACTTTTTTATTAGAATTGTATAAAATGTCGGAACGATATCCGACTAAAAAATTAAGGTTTTGTATTTTTTTTTGTTTATATCACGTTTGCCTCGTGCAAATTCTGCTTTGGGGGCAAATGTGAATCAACTTCGGGGAAATTGGCGTATATTTTTTTACCTTGACTGCGCGCACAACTAGTGGGTTGCAGGTGAGCGTCCAATGAGAAGCGAGTTTGTTACGAGCTTGCGTCATATTGTCCGTCGTTTTCAATCTGACACTTTCCGTATGAGGAGCGAGGGGTGAAGGATATGGCCAAAACAGGTGTGACGTCAGGTGACCATCGGCGTTCTAACGTAAGGAGCAATAAGCTCACAGTCCTTCGCAGTATCAGATTAAAATCGACGGACTTGTATTTGTATTCAGAGGCGAGTTCAGAATTAATCGTTCCTTCTTCTTTGTACCATGTTATTCGACAAGGAGCAAACTAATACTTCACGTATGTATTACTTCTGAACTCATCGCAGTGTTGTTTGGGGTTATGTTATATCCGGGGCCCCAGCGCTTCGCGCTCCCCCGCTCATCGATAGCTACGTTACTGTTCTCCAGTATAAATACGCCTAATACAATAAATAATTGTAGGCCCTTCAAACATTCAGTGACCATCTTTGCGAATCATCACTTCTTGCAAATCCCGCAAAACGCTCTGGCCTTTAGGCCGCACTTTGAAATACAAATTGGGCCTGCCAAAGCCAGGACAAATCACTTGGGGATTTTGCAATTTCAAAACACTAATAATGTCCTCGTAGACATATTTGGTTGCGGTTGCAGTGACAGCCAATACGGACAACATCCACAAAAATCTCCTTAAAAATGCCGAACTGCCTAAACTTAGGCCTGAAATGGTGGCCCCAATTACTAACGGAATGGGCCTCATCAACGGCAATTAGAACCAATCGGCATCGCACAAAATCTCATGCAACAACTGTTTTCTGAGCCAACGAAACTCTGGAGTCAAATACACTACTGAATGATTATTGTTTGAAATTCCTTCGATTGTAGCTGCTGGGTGGGCTTGGGCACTGCCAAGTAAACAAGCTGATATATTTGGTACACTCAACGATAGAACTTGGTCTTGCATTAAGGAAATTAACGGCGATATCACTGAAGTCGTACCTCGGGAGTATATGGCCGAAAATTGGTACAGCAAAGATTTCTCATAGCCAGTGACCATAATGGCGCAATTGTCTTGTTTCTTGTTCAATATCGAACTTATTATTTGCCACTGAAACGGCCTTAAATTGATGGTGGCCAAAATGTCTTGACAGAAGATCTAACGATCTTGGGTCAGGAGGACGATTGGCCGGATTGATATCCATCACTTGAGTCGGTTGCGAGTAGATATCTTGATTTAGTAAAAAGTTCGGTCTGTGGGCCGGAACTAAATCTATTACTTGAGTCAGTTGCGAGTGGATGCCATGTACATTTTCCAATTGCCAGGCCGCATTGATTAGCAGTTGGTCGTTAGAAATAACCCTTGCAAATCACATTGAATATTTGGTTTTATTTTCTGGTGTGAAAAACTTTGGCTGGTATGGCGGTAGCGGGAGCAAAGGCAGCAGCGCCGCGGGATTGAAAAATGTGGCGGGACATGTAAGCGAAATATTGCTTTAAGATGAAATGTATCATGTCCCACCACATTTTCTAATCCCGTGTCGCTGCTGCCTTTGCTCCCGCTATCGCCATACCTCCCAAAGTTTTTCACACCAGAAAATAAAACCAAATATTCAATGTGATTTGCAAGGGTTATTTCTTATGGAAAGGTTTAAATACCATAATAATATTGGTAGATTACAAAAGAATATAAACAAATTATATATCATTGGAAAGGTAATTTTATGCGTAGGTATTCTAAAAATGTAAAAATGTACAGGGTCTCGTATTCAAAAAAGATGAAGTTTGCGTCATATCTCTTAAACGGTAACTCGGAAAAAAAAATTGCAGTACGCCAATGAAATCTACGTAAAAAACTGCGTCAGATACAATTTTCATCTTATTTTTGATATCTTTTTTCTCACGCGAGATAATGACTACCCTTGAAAAGTGAAAATTGCAAGTTTCGCCCTGTATCTCCAAAACGGTACACTATAGAGACTTGTGGTTTGCGGCATTTGATCCATCATAAAAAATTGGCCCAGGGATGTGAAATTAAAAAAAAATCTACCTCTACGAGTTTTGCGGCTAACCCCCAATACCATCATAATTGGACACCCTGTACATAAACATTCAAGCGAAACTTGGGACAAGGACCTAGGGTGTCTTGTTAAAGTTGTCGAAATAACTTAGGTAATGCAGCGAAATTACTAAGGCTGAAAATCGTTGTACATATAATATATAACATATAACGTATAAAAAACAGTAATGTTAGTCAGTCAGTTGAATAGCGGAACTGGGCTGGTCAGTCGGCCCCCTTGAGGTAGTTCAGCCCCGATTTATGTAAAAAAAATAACAGGTCTAGAGAAAATCTAACGCGCGAGCGGTCCCGTTCACATCACTTTCGTATGAATGTTAGGAACAATCTAACGACGCGAGTGATGGCGTGTGTCAAAATTTCGTTAACTTTGATAGATTTTTTATTTGTATTTTGGTGTTTATATGTAAACAACTTTTATATAAAATTATTATAAATCAATTGAATTAATATAGCAAACTTCTGTTTGAAAAATAATAGTTTTATTGCAAAAAAATGGATGTTAGATAAAATCTAACACGCGAGTGATGGTGTAAAAAAATGAGGCGCGAGTGACGGAGGGTTAATATTTCTGGTAGATTTTCACATTTATTGGGGCTGACTGACCAGCACGGTCGCGCTATTCAACTGACTGCCTAACATTACTGTTTTTTATATGTTATAATATAATATGTATAACGATTTTCAGCTTTAGTAAATTTGTTGCATTACCCAAGTTATCTCGAAACCTTTAACAAGACCTATAGGGCTTTGTCCCAAGTTTCGCTTGACTGACCACGGTATGTTTATGTACGTAAATACTGTAATCAACTGTCCAAAAACTAGCTTTAGTAAATTCACAGAATTTTTTCGGCGCTCTTAGACTATATCTAGGACATTCCGAATACTTCCGGAGATATCTGGAAAAAAACGAAATTTCGTAAAATGGTTTTTATATTTTTCTGACTTTAATTGAAGTGATTGATATTTCAAAAAAAAAATACTTCTCCATCATTCCCATTTTTTCTCCCCTTCAAAATGCTACAAACGACCAACTGCTAAACAATGCGGCCTCGCAATTGGAAAATGTACATGGCATCCACTCGCATCCGACTCAAGTAATAGATTTAGTTCCGGCCCACAGACCGAACTTTTTACTAAATCAAGACATCTACTCGCAACCGACTCAAGTGATGAATATCAATCCGGCCGATCGTCCTCCTGACCGAAGATCGTTAGATGTTCTATCAAGACATTTTGGCCACCATCAATTTAAGGCCGTTTCAGTGGCAAATAATAAGTTCGATATTGAATAAGAAACAAGACAATTGCGCCATTATGGCCACTGGCTATGAGAAATCTTTGCTGTACTAATTTCCGGCCATATACTCCCGAGGGACGACTTCAGTGATATCGCCGTTGATTTCCTCAATGCAAGACCAAGTTCTATCGTTGAGTGTACCAAATATATCAGCTTGTTTACTTGGCAGTGCCCAAGCCCACCCAGCAGCTACAATCGAAGGAATTTTAAACAATAATCATTCAATAGTGTATTTGACTTCAGAGTTTCGTTGGCTCAGAAAACAGTTGCTGTATGAAATTAAAAAGCGATGCCGATTGGTTCTAATTGCTGTTGATGAGGCCCATTGCGTTAGTAATTGGGGCCACCATTTCAGGCCTGAGTTTAGGCAGTTCGGCATTTTTAAGGAGATTTTTGTGGATGTGTCCGTATTGGCTGTCACTGCAACCGCAACCAAATATGTCTACGTGGACATTATTAGTGTTTTGAAATTGCAAAATCCCCAAGTGATTTGTCCTGGCTTTGGCAGGCCCAAATTGTATTTCAAAGTGCGGCCTAAAGACCAGAGCGTTTTGCGGGATTTGCAAGAAGTGATGATTCGCAAAGATGGTCAGTGGATGTTTGAAGGGCCTACAATTATTTATTGTATTAGCCGTATTGATACTGGAGAACAGTGGCGTAGCTATCGATGAGCGGGGGAGCGCGAAGCGCTGGGACCCCGGTTATAACATAACTCCAAACAACACTGCGATGAGTTCAGAAGTAATACATACGTGAAGTATTAGTTTGCTCCTTGTCGAATAACATGGTACAAAGAAGAAGGAGCGATTAATTCTGAACTCGCCTCTGAATACAAATACAAGTCCGTCGATTTTAATCTGATACTGCGAAGGAATGTGAGCTTGTGGCTCCTCACGTTAGAATGCAGATGGTCACCTGACGTCACACCTGTTTTAGCAAAATCCTTCACCCCCTCGCTCCTCATACGGAAATTGTCAGATTGAAAATGACGGACAATAAGACGCAAGCCCGTAACAAACTCGCTTCTTATTGGACGCTCACCTGCAACACACTAGTTGCGCGCGCAGTCAAGGTAAAAAAATATACGTCAATTTCCCTGAAGTTGATTCACATTTGCCCCCAAAACAGAATTTGCATGAGGCATACGTGATATAAACAAACAAAAAAAAATACAAAACCTTAATTTTTTAGTCGGAACGATAGGTACTAGGGCTGGCAACCGAGACCGATTTTTCGGTTAACCGGTTAACCGATTTTCGGTTAACCGCGGTTTTCACCCAAACCGAAAATCGATTATTCGATTAATCGATTTCCGGTTATTCGGTTTGCGGTTAATCGGTTTTCGGTTAATCGGTTTTCGGTTAATCGGTTTTCGGTTAATCAGTTTTCGGTTAATCGCTTTTCGGTTAATCGGTTTTCGGTCAATCGGTTTTTGGTTAATCGGTTTGCGGTTTACCGAAAACCGAATACTTACCTACCAAAAACTGACTGACTGAAGACGAGAATTGAAAATACATAATCAAACAAAACTCAATGAATAATCAGAAAACTAGGGAACTTATTTTTATTCAAAAAATGTAATGTAATATAATAAACATGAAACTAAGTAGAGTAATAGTACCTACTAATACCTCAACCTTGTGCGTAAGTCTTAGTTGAGGTCAAGATTATTGTTGAGGAAAACCAACATGTTTACAGTGTTTCCTTTTAAACAGCTTCTTTTAGCTGATACTATGTTTCCTGCATCAGAAAATACCCGCTCTGATGGTGTTGAAGTGGCCGGTATAGCAAGATATTTACGAGCTAATTGACTCATAAGAGGAAATCTAGGCTCCTTTTATTTGCACCAATCGAGTGGCGATGAGTTTTTGTCGATTTGATTCTCCTTAGAATACATTTCCACTTCTCTTTCCACAGGATCTTGTGACGTGCTGGCTTTGTCTTGATTTGTCGGAAATAGAATATCTATCGCAGTTTGTGAAAGTGATGGAGAAGTCATTGATTCGTCCTGCAGAGGAGTAGTTATCGTACCTTATGATAAGAGCTGTTTAATTTTGGAGTGAAGTTTTCACATTCATTCCAAAACTGCTTTCATGCATTTTGTACCTGGGGTCTAAAAAAATTGCAATGTCATGTAATTTCACTGCTTTAGTCTGACAGACGCCTGGAGTTTAATCAAAATCGAATCTTGATCTCAGCTGATTAGATACAATCTTCTTCATTTTTTTAATTTCATCCAAGCTAAATTCATCATCAGAATGTAGGAAATTATCTAATAAGGATTTTACAATTGGCAAAACTATTGATATTGTTGGAGAGTTTTCTGAGCTCATAATTGCTGTAGTTAAAGTGAACGGTTTCAAAGAAGCTGCTAGTGCCTCCAACAAATCCCAATCCGATTCTTTTAATTCGAAACTGACGGCTTGCGACCTGGAGGTTAAACTGCGATTTTGGAGGTCGTTTATGACTGCTTGTCGTTGTTCCACTAGTCTTTCCACCATAGAAACCACAGAATTCCATCTTGTTTTGACGAATTTAATCAATTTATGGTTTGGTAGTCCAGTATGATTTTGGGCTTCTTTAAGAGCCTTGGTAGCCACGTTCGAATGTTTGAACTGTCCTACAATAGCAGAACATTTCGTAAGAAGCTGCTGAATGTTTTCGATATCAAGACCTTTATTTATGCACAGTTGCAAAGTATGAGCAAAGCAACAAACACTTTCGTAAAACTCTCTTGATTTTTTTTAGGGCACTGACAATGTTCGCAGCATTATCGTGAACAATAGCACACACTTTTCCAGTTAGATTCCATGCACTGATGATTTCTTCTATTTTATTATTTAAATTTCCAGCAGTATGTCTCTCTTCCATTATTTCTGTAGTGAGTGTATAATTCACATATTTCCATTCTTTTGAAACTGCATGCAAGGTAACAGTGATATAGGATTCATTATTTCTGGAAGACCAGCCATCCGTGGTAAGAGAAACCCAATCAAATTTGGTAACTTCATTGATAATTTTTTGTTTTTCTTTATGGTGTTTCGACAGGGAATTTTATATAAAGGTATGGTCTTTTTGATAAATTCGATGAATCCTGGGCCCTCCACGAATGAAAGAGGAAGCATATCCTTAACTATCATTTTTACTATAGCATTGGTGGTCAGTTCTTGCTTTTTCAAGGCAGTTTTTTTTGGCAGAAAAATTTGATCAATTTGTGTTATTGAACTAGATGTTGAAGGATTTTTAGGCTTAGGAATAGATATGATCGTAAGATCGTTATCATCATCATCAGTTTCTATAGATTCTCTTTCTGATTCTGACGCAGTATGTGAATCTGGCAAATCCGATTCCGACGAAGGATAATCTGCAACGCCTGTTTCTTCAGAATGAGAGCAAGAAGGACCCGGTTCCAAGAGAGCAGCTGCGGTGTGTCTATAAAAAATACAAAATTGTTAAAAAAATTACGCACAGCTTCCAGAGTGATAAATAAATTGTAGCCTTGAGCCTTGTCCTACAGCTACTTTATTGATTAATATTTATTTACATTACAATTTTGACACTTGTTGATTGGATTGCTCTTAGTAAACATGCGAGAAAATCCGTGAAATTAGCACAAATTCGGAGGAAAAATCATAAGTCCGTAATGTGAGCAGTAAGCAGTATCCGTAAGACGTAAGAAAAATGAACTTATAGCAAATACATGCTCCTGGTTATAGTTTTTCAGTAACAAGTATGCGTGAGCCGTAAGCAGTATGAAATGGTTCATTTTTATTTCTTACGATTACTGATACGGATTCGGGCACAATCGTCGGTTCTCGTGTTAAAACGTAACGCTTGTCACTCCACCTAGAGGGCAATGGCCGCTGGCATTGTTTTTGTTTTGGTTTGTTCACCGATTTCTATTGATTGAAATAAAATCATATTGAGCACGCGTAACTTTTTACTGTCACGGCAAATCCAGCTATAAATTAAGATTTTTTACTGATACTTCTCACGGCATACGTTCTTACTTCTTACTTACTGCTTACTGCTTACGTTACGGAAGTTATAAATCCAGCTTAACGTCAACTTCACACGGCAGAAATCAGATTTGGCCTTATATCATATCATATTATAAGAGTTTCACTTACCTATGTTTTCTATTCTGGCTCAATTTCGCTCCGAAGTGAACATGTCGACTTTTTAAGTGATTCCACATATTAGAGGTGCCGTTTGTGTATTTCAATTTACACTTGCACAATGAGCATGTTATATGAAAATTGTTTTCAGATTTCTTGAAATATTTCCAACATTCACTCGGCATTTTGTCAATTTTTTAAAAAATAGGTACTCGTGTGACCCCCAAACCTACACTAAAATACTGTACTTTATTTTTCTAATTTTAATTCTTGCTGAGCCTGAGCCCTCAGACTAGCTCTGCCTTGTTCTCGTTTTCCTACGTTAATAGAGAGATATTGCAAGTGCTTGTCTTATTAAGGCAAGCCTTATTTCGACAGCTGCGCACGCGCGGTTTCCATTTGGAATAAAGACAGCCTTATTAAGGATAAGGATCTGCCTTATTTAGGAGAAAATAAGACATGCCTTATCTTTGCCTTATTTAAAAGTTCTTAGTCGCTCGGCGATGATCGGTAGAAATAGCGAACTGAGTTTTGTTATGTTTTGTGTTTATAACCATAGATTTTAGACTCATGACAACAAATGTTGACTTTTTCTTGATTTTTTTTTCCGAAATTTGAGAAATGGGTCAAAATCAAAACAGCATCGAGGCACAGAAAAGAGGCAGACTAAAGGTTTGTTTGTTTGTGTCGCACTAACTTGAACCAACTGTAATATCTCAGATTATGGCAGATAAACCATATAAAACGCTCACAAACGAATGCCCCAAAGCAGGAAAGGCTGCCCCGAACAACACAAATAAACAATCTCAAGGTTTATAACGATGGACTGGTTTTGCTTAGAGAATTTGTGTCTTTTTCCTGCCATGGTTCTACGATTTTACATGTACCTACTATATAAATATTTTGAACAAATACTTTCTTATTTTCAAAATATCTAAGCATATATTCCACATCAGAAAGAAAACACTTGAGTTCAAAACTTAAAAAATAAACATTAACAAAAGTTCAAGATTTTCAGGTTAGAAATAAGGCATCAACTCCCAGTCATTTCTGGAAATTTGCAATATCTAAACTTGTCATTCGAAGTAAGGAAATGACCTATCGCGTCTAAATAAGGTTTTAGCCTTAATAAGGCTGATTTGCAATATCTCTCTAATGCGCTGCCGTTGTTTAAACTGTGAAGACTGTCATTAATGTCATTATTTTCAATATGACAGCGGCTGTGTTCCAGAGCTGCTTTCCAGTATGCACATTGGCGCACTCTGGAGCACCCCGGAAGCGCCACGCACTAGATTTGTACCGTTCCAGTTTCATAACGTGACACGCTTGTCTTACGAACGACAGTTCGAGAGCTCGACGCTCCGAGTAGCTCCGAGCGTCACACTCCCATACTGGAAAGCAGCTCAGGATTACATAGCCCTATTCGATTGACCAAATCAGATCGATGAGGGCTGGGATCACGACAAGTAG